TGATATATTTCAAATATATGGAGGCATCCAAAAATTATGTGTAATAAATCGATATTTTGAAAATGTGACGAGATATGAAAAAAAATCTCGTCACATTTTTAAAATATCGGTAAAAATCGACCCCCACACTTTGTTTTTTAAGCATAACTCGAGAACTAAAAGATCTATATACATAAAATTTGGTATGTAAGTGCGGGTATAGTGCAGATTTATTATTTTTATCGAAACTTATCTATATTTTGAAATTGTGACGAGATTTGGAAAAAATTGTTAAAAACGTTTAGCATATTGTATAGGAGAATAATTTTTAAATCTGTACAAACAACAAAGAGTGATATGGCTAAATCGACTCAGACCGTCGCGCTGATCAAGAATATATATAATTTATGGGAACGGAGATCCCTCCTCTTGCCTCTTACATATATTTGCAATAAACTGGTATAACTTTTTTTACCTATTTTTAATGGGTACAAAGTAAAAAAAAAAACAATAAATCGAAATAATTTCACTTAAAATTATAACTTGAGAAAAACAATGTAAAAATAATATAAGAAAGAACATAGTCTTATTTATGTCTTATTTTAACCACTTAAGAGTTTGTTGTTAATAAATATTTAAATAAATACACAAACTTAAAGTCAAACTAAGTACACTTAACAAGTTAATAAAAGGTTAAATAGAAACGATTATTGTAGCTTAGAATGTGGTCTCTGCGTGTGAGTCAACTCGTATTTTCTTCAAGGACTAAATTAATTATTTCAACAGTTGTTGGTGTTGTTTGTAGTTTTCGTTGTAGACAAATTGCAGCTATTAAATAACTAATTACTATGATGCGAATGATGACAACATTTATCTGTCTGCGGCAAGCAACACTTTTGCCTTATGTATAAATTAAATAATGAAATTTACTAATTGCCAAATGCGAAATGCAAAATGCTGAATGCAAAATGCAGCTGGGGCCAAAAACTTTAGAGCTTTAATTTAATTTTTAATGTTTAAGTTTTGACCAGCATAAATAAATAAAGACAAGCCGGCACACACACACACATGGTAAAACAAGAAAACTTGTCTATGGCATCTTAGCAGTAAACCAAATGCCAATATTTGTCTGGCCAGAGTTAAATGAATGGACAAGTGAACGAGTCCGAGTGAGTGTATGAGTGTCTTCGAATGAATGGCTGGATGTTCATTTGAATGCTCTGTTGCTGGCCAACATGATTTTCAATTAAAATTGATTTTATGCAAATTTTCAATTAGTCAAACACATTTTATCATCAACAACAAGGACTAACAAACAAACTACAACGCAAACAGGATGCGTCGACAGGATGCGTGTGTGCTCGGGCTCAGCCTCTGGGCCCATCATCTTCAGACATGGCCAAAAGACTTGTGCAAACCACTTGAGATAAATAGATTTTAAGTTGCAATCACTTTTTACATGTATTTGCTGCTCTGTTCAGTCCCGCCCCGACCTCTTCGACTCTTCTAGATGTTTATCCCAAGTTGTGCTTAAGCCACGGACATTTCTCTGTCTCTCGAATGCTGATTAAGTAATTGCATTTGCCCAAAATTTTACAACATTTTGGCGTTGACTTCATTTGCGCTGCCTTTCATCGACAATTACGAGCCGAGCGACAAAAAAATATATACATACAACTCTACAGTTTGACTATATAGTATAATATATATAAAACATATGCATGTGTGTGCGTGTGCCTGCGCGTGTATGCGTATATCGCCTAATGTTTTGCAGCTCTCACTAATTGCATTAAAAAGGAAAGCCCGCTGCCCCCCGCTGGTTCCAAAAAAAAACAGGACTCACAAGTCTAACGTTAGCTAAATTATACAAAACATGAAGAAGGACCTAACTTTGTATTTTCAAGACACCAAATCTTGAATACCCTTAAATAAATTATAACAATGCAACTTTTAAAGCGTTCATTAACTTTGACAAAGCAACAAGTCTAAAAATAAAGTTTTATATATATTTTTTGACTAAAAATAAAAATAAAAGATTAAAAAAAATTTTCAAGTTAAACATACATTTTTTTATATATATTTTTTGTACGTTTTTTAATTTTTGTATGAATATATAAAAATAAAATTTTAAATTAAATAAATAAAATATTCAAGTTTACCTTTTTATATAAAGACATTTATTAAATTTACCCTCTTTTTCTTTATCTTATTTATAATATTATCAAAAAAATTATTATAATTATCAAAATAACAAGAGGCTCTAGTCGGGAGCTCCCGACTACGGAATACCCTTAACCCTCTTATTCCAACACCAAATAAATTAAAACAAGTAAGAGGCTCTAGTCAGGAGCTCCCGACTAGGGGATACCCTGAACCCTCTTCTTCCAAAATCAAATGCATATACATATATATTCTATTTTATAAGCTATATGTCAAGTTTGGTGACTCTAGCTCTTATTATTTACCAAAATTGCCCAAAAAACAGGATATCGATATCGATTTTTATCGATTGCTTGGAAACGGAGTAAGTTATCGATTATCGGTAACAACAAACTCGATCGCAGGCACTAGGAGCACCTGCATCCAAATTTTAAAGTCTCTAGCTCTTATAGGCTCTGAGATCCTTGCGTTCATACATACGGACGGACGGACAGGCAGACAGACGGACATGGCTAGATCGCCTACATACATTAGCATTTTGGTTATAAAAATGTATAATAAAAAATATAAACAAATATTAATGTTAAACTTTGTATGTTTGTTTGTCTTATTTTTATAATAATGAAAATTAAAACGAGAAAGAAAGCTATCTTCGGCACGCCGAAGATCTAATATCTTGAAAAACAAAATGTTTTTTCATACAACAACTTAATTTTCGACCGATCGTTCCTATGGCAGCTATAATATATAGTGGTCCGATCTGATTTTGACATATGTGCTGCGTGCAACAGAAAAAGGGTCTTCTGCAAAGTTTCATTAAGATAGCTTTAAAACTGAAAGACTAGTGCGCATAGAAACAGACAGACGGACAGACGGTCAGACGGACAGACGGACAGACGGACATATCGACTCGGCTGTTGATGCTGATCAAGAATATATATACTTTATGGGGTCGGAGATTTCTCCTTCTATGCGTTACACATTTCACGACAAAATTATAATACCCTCTGGGTATTATAATAATAATACAACATACAAGAAAAATATTAAAGTAAATCCTATGTACTATCATTAATTAAAATACTTTCTTCCAAGCGTAACATAGCACACAACAAAATCAAGGGGTTATGCCCTCGGAGTGTATATATAAGTAAGTAAAATAGATGTCGACATGCTACAGACAGTTGAATAGTCGTTTAAAGTTGTATATAGTCGTATAGTCTGTGCGTTGACACACCCATCCCATGGAAGGAATATGAATGTAGGTAGAGCCTCTGCTCAACCCTCTCTTCCATCATCTCTCTTTTTCTGTCCCTCCCTCTGCCTGTCTTTCCCTCTTTTTAGTTGCGTTGTCTTTTGCGCTTTTAAGTTGCAATTTGGTTGCATGTCACTTTGAAAATGCTTTCAGACATTGTGCCCAGGCTACTTCACATAATGTTTTCCATTAGTCAGCTGCGAGTCAAGCACCTGGTAAACGTTCCCCTTTTGTCCACGTGACGTATGCTTAATTTGCACTTCACATTATTGCCAGGGCAGAATAAGCAGCAGGTTGCCAACTACTAGCAATTGTCCGCTAAACAGGACTTTAGAAAGAACATCTCGGCTAGACTGAAAAGGATTCGGATGGGACAGCAAAAAGATCTCATGCTTTGTAAAGTTTAACATAAGTCTGTTATGCTCTGAAGATATTCCATTTTAAAGGCAGATATTTGAAAATGTAATAATCAATATATATTATATATATGGCCTAAAGTCCTGAAGGACTCACTTAAACATATAACATAATAAATATGTATATATTTAATATAAATTAAGTGCCAACCCAAGGCAAGGTTTTTTTTACTGAGAACTGACTTGATCCGAGATTCTGAATTGGGAATCTGCGTTCTCATATACTAAGATTCATTCGCATACTGGTTGCAACGATAAAATGGTTATTATATATTGTCTTTTCTTCTCCCTAATTCTTACCAATTCTTATAATATATCTTATCTACATACATATTCGGAATTAAAGATGTTTTAATTGATTGCACCTAGAGCTAAAGCATTGGAATAGACCAACGAGAAAGAGAGGCTATCTTCGGCACGCCGAAGATTTAATACCCTTGCATACCTAACCTTTTCATAATGCTTATAGTGCTTTCCGTGTATCTAAGAAGCACAGGGAAAATAGTTAATACCTTGTTTGGTCAAGATATCTTGATAAACAAAAAAGGTTTTTAATCAAAACCCTAGTTTTCGACCAGAGCTTTAAAACTGAGGGACTAGTTTGCATAGAAACAGACAGACGGACAGACGGACATGGCTATATCGACTCGGCTGTTGATGCTGATCAAAAATAAAAATACTTTATGACGTCGGAGATGTCTTCTTCTATGCGTTACACATTTCACGACAAAATTATAATACCCTCTGCAAGAGTATAACAACCAAGATAGCAAATACTTACAACATTTTGTCTTAATTTATCCAACATTAATGTAAATACAAATGCATGGCTTGTTATATTATGAAACATGCACAAAGCACACATAACTTGTGTGTAAGCTAATCACTGATAAAATCTAATATCATTCAAAGCAAATGGCATCAAAGTAATAAACCTATGCGTGAAAGATTGGCACAGAATTACAGGAACATGGCAACGTGTTTTTGCAATTAAGTTACGGTTTCTGTTGTCCAAATATTAGCACTTACATTTTCAATAAATGTACCAACTGCAATGCCAGGAGACAACTCATTTGCATCTGGCTGTGTGTATTTGCCCAAGCTGAAGCAGCTGGAGACGATGGACAATCACAATGCTCAATATGTTGGCTGGCATTGAAAGTAAAGTCAGTTCAAGTGTAGAACATGCTCAATTTAGCTCAGACGGGGGAGGGCTCTCTCAGTTGGAGTTGGTGAGTTGGTTTAGACAGTTGAAAGACAAACAACAATGGCACGCACTGATTTGACCAGGGAACAGAAATGGGACACCGCAGCTGAGCACAGGAGTAAATAATGCAAACGAGACGGCAGGCAGACGCTTTAGCTTTGATTGGCCAAAAGACAAGGCCCGGCCAATTAGCCGGGTTGGCCCTGACCAGGTCTGAAATGAAGCTGAAGCTGAAATTTCAGCTGGATGATGCACAGACGCCAGTGGTGAATGCCTCACTAAGTGCATGAATAAATAAACCGAAGTCACTTGACTAGTTAGCCCCCACACACGCCCCTTCACACACCAACCCCCCAACACCACAACAGTCAGAGTCAACACATGTTAACAACTTGATGGCGAAAAGTCAAATGGCTTAAATGCCCAGCACATTGTAAGCAAACAGCGTCAGTCCCAACGGCCAACGTGGAACAGGGTACAACAGCAACAGCACCAACAGCAATAAAAAAAAAGAAGAAAGAAAACCCAAACCAACAGAGGGACATATGCAAATGCAGGCAAATAAAATTATTATTCAAATTTTTGGCATGTCCCATGAGCGTTAAACTAACAGCTACAACTACAATGGACAGCTTGGAATTTAACATGAGCCAGTTCTTCATGCTGTTGGCTGTCACTCCAAGCACTACCCCTCCCACCCACTGAATGGGGTGACTGCCCAAACAACTTCAAAAACGCTTCATAAAACCCAAGTTCCTGCAGCGGAATGTTCATAATGATGATGATGATGCGGTTGATGGCTTGAGGACTGGGCAGCTCTTGTAGTTGGCTAACAATTTGAAATGAAGCGATCAACAGTTATATCCTGGTGATTGCCTTAAATATGCACAGTGGAACAAAGCATGAAAGGCTAATATCTACACTAAAAAAAACTTAAGGAAGTAGGCTGAAGAAACTGTGAAAAGAATATAAATGCAAGCTTATTATTTAATCAAAACAGAACCATAAAAGCTCGACATGTTTTTGATATAATGCGGAAGCTCCATACAAATTAAGTTTTTTTGGACTTTGCCGCAAAGCAAAATGCTTAAATATATATTACTTAAAGTTTTTTAAAACTTGTGAGCTTTAAAAAGCTACACTACACTGAAAGCTCACCGAATGAAAATATCAATTATGTCAATTTACGCTCAGTTTATTTTAACTATCATAAATAACTTTGGAATACTTTAATCCCTGAGTCAACTGATGTAAGCCTTAGCGATGACTTTATGGGCTTTTTTCACTTTTATAAGCAAGAAACAGTATACTTTACAAAAAACTATCGATATATCCATAGACATAATCTATGTTGAAATTTAAATTTAAAAATAATTTAAATATCGAGTGTACCTTTTTAATTTAAATTTTCCATTTATCCAATTAAATGTATTATAAATTTCAATATTCTATATAAAAAATCGAAAGAAAATTTCTAAATAATTCCAATTATCAGATTAACTGTCGAATATCATATTATAAATTCAGAATTCCAACATAAATTCAAATCTATTTTTATGATAATAATCAATATATCGATATATTCAATGTAAAATTTAAAAAATGTTTAAATTTAACAAAAATTGTAAGTAAATTTATAACTAATATTATCCATTTATCAAATTGACATTATAATATGCTTTAATAAATTCAATATACGAACATAAAACTAAATGGGTTTTTATGAATGCCATGCAAAATATCAATCACAGTACGGTCTGCCCTATGCCCGTACTCCTGAGACTACGCCCTGTCGCAGCACTCGCAATTCACATTGTTTGAGGGCAAGAATGCATGCCATTAGCTTGGCCAAATGTTTTTCAGGCCGCAAGCAAACGCTAGACAACAAAAGGTCAGCTCCTTCTGGTCGAACTTGTCCAGCAGAGCAGGTTGGCTAGCTGGCTGGCAGGCAGACAAACATACAGTCAGACAGACAGTAAAGTGTTACGCCCACAAATCACGCCCCGTACATGGCAACCACACGAAGAAAACCAAAACCCGCAAGCCACCCAAATGGCAACGGAAAAAACAACAACAAGAAAAAATGACAAGAATTTTACAGCCAGTCAATTATGGCCGTGGCTGGCAATACAGACGAGGCGGACAAAATCGGACGAAATGCATGGTGCGGGTCTCGAAAGGCTCACCCTGGCCTGCTCCAAGCTGGTCTGGCCTGGCCTGGTAGCACTGGCTAGTTCTGGTAGCCCAACAACAACAACAACATCGAAAACAACAACAGCCATGAGACCCAAGCAACAAGCCCACGACGAAAAGCAAAAGTTGTTACTGTCTCATTGTTGTTGCTGTCGTTGTCTGTGTTGTAACCAAAACGCGCATTTTCCATGCGAATGGCACATAAAAAAAAAATTTAAAAAAAAACAAGCAGCAGCAAGCAAAAAGTGACCAAAAGCAAGAAGGGAAACGATGCGGTCCAAATCGACATATTGACAGACTAAATGGAGTTTTCGGTTTTGAGTAGTAAATCAAGTTAGGCACTTGCACCGCACGCGCACACACACACACACACACACACACCTACGAGCACACGTCGCATACATAATCGAAAATTGCATGCCGCAGAGAATTTACTCAAGAATCCGCAAAAAATAGATACACTACAAGTATTCTCAAATGCAGGCAAGGCGATATGTAAATGCTCTTTTAACTATTTTGATTATTTGTTTTTTTTTGAGTACCTCATGAACTTAAATTATAAGCTGAACTAAATAAATGGAGCGTTCAATTAAATTATATTCAAATTTAAACTTAAGCTATGTTAAGTGATAAATAACAACTGGATCACAGCTCATTGAACCCAGTTTTATAGTCAAAGCGCAGGGGTTTGCAAATGGAATCAATTGGAACTGGTTAATTGGTCAATTATACTGCAGATTCGCCCGAAATCTAGCTAAGGTTGACATCCATTCAACATAAGCAGGTAACTTAAAACGGTGTAGATCATCTTTAAAAACTTTAAGCTCTACCTTAATAGCAGTGTACATTATTGGCTTACCTATTGGAACCATTTCCTTAATTAAACAACACTGTCCTATGTAAAGACACCCTGTCTAGGGATCTATCACATTGTAAAGACACCCTGTCTAGGGAATTATCACATTAAATTTAATATCAAGTTAATTATTGTTCTTTCGATACAACTTTTTTTGCATAGCTATTCAGAATGGAAGCCGTCCAAATGAAACTGTTTTATATCTGAAGTATCATTGGTTATCATTGGTTACAAATCTACTCCACTGAATTGGCTTAAAAGATCAACGAACTTGTTTTTTTCGCATAATATGCCAACGCATTGCAACCGGTCCCAGTTGAGGCTTTATCATCAGGCACATCCTGTAAAATATTTTAGATTTACAAGCACAAGATTCACAAGAGTGTAGCAAATACGTTTGAGCACATATGCGGCACGTATCCTTCTTCATTTGAAAGTTTTGTCATCCTCTTCACGTTGACAACAAGTTGGTTGTCCCCACGAAAAAAAGTGGCAAAGTTAAAAGCCAAAAGGTCTGAAAGCTTCGTGTTGTCTGGTGGTCGTCTGTTCAGGGACACTGTTTGGGGCAGCTTTTATTGTCTGTCAAGCGGAGTGGCCAAATATGGTTGTTAGATTGGTAGACAGGAGTTTACAGGCGAGTCCATGCCAGGCCCAAACAACAGCTCCTGATGCACTCAGGCATTTGCATATTTTTGCTCGTCAAGTTGTGTTTTTGTTTCGTGTCTTGTCTTCTCCTGGGAACTGTCTTTGGTCACTCGCCTGGTGCCTGGTGGCAAGAAAAGGCTGCAGCTGGAACTGAAGCCAAAGCTGGGGGCCAGCCTTTTGCTAGTTTGCACAAAATGAAAATCAAAGCCAAAATTCGTTTATTGCCAACGCTGCTGAATGTGGCTGCCGTTCGTCAAATATTCCTCAACTGGCTGTCCCGTGAGACAACTTAGTCAGTTGTTGCCACTGCCAGTCACTGGCACTGCCGCGCATTGTCTCCGGCTCATTCCGTTGCCTTTGCTGTTTGCACGCAAATATGAAAATCACAACATGCTTCTCGTCGTCGTCATGTGTTTAGCCTTTGGCCTGGGCCCCCAAAATTCCCTGCCGTAAACTTGATCAATACGCCATTTGACAGAATACTTATGCAGAAGTCCTGCAGACACCGCCCACACAACTCACAGAGCTCGTTAGAGCCGCGTTGCATTCATTGTTTCGGTCGCATTGATCCATAAAACATGAGCTGATTCCGTTTTGGTGGAAACTAGCAAATGATTTTGCCAAGAAGGCAACTGATGCACTTTCCCATCTATTGAGAGAAATGAACATTTATATAAAAGCTGGCAGCAAAGCAATCAACTACTTAACAATCGAGAATCAGATCGAAGGTCATATTAAAGATAAATTGTTTTATATCTAAGCAAAAACGAAGTTTGAGCAAGATAGCTTGAAAAACAAAAAAGTTGTTCATACCAGAACTTAATTTTCGGCAGTGTGTTAATATGGCAGCTATATGGCATAATGGTCCGATCCGGTTTCAACACAATTTCATTAAGATAGCTATAAACCGAGAAACAGACACAGACAAACTCGGCTATATCGAAGCGACTTGTCTGTCGATACAGATTACAAATATTAATTATTTTATACTTTATAGAGTCCGAAGAAGCTATTTCTCACAAAAGTTGGTTTAGTTTTGACAGAATTTTGGGAATTTGAAGTCCACGTGGCGATCATGCTATGGATTCTGGAGTCTTAATTGTAGTCAGGAAAAATCAATATGCAGTTTATTTCTTAACAATAATACAAATATATATATATATAATTCTTATTACACATAAAATTCATACACAAATGGGATGCCTCAATTGGTAAGAGGATATATTTTGTCTAGAAAGCTATTCTTCAAACAAATCTATTACCTTCCGAGCTTTGATAGATTTATTCAACTTATTGAACTGTGAAAGATTTAAAGTTTTTTAAGCTACATTAGATTGTTAGTCGCTTTCAACCAGGCAAGCCACATTTTATTTGTTATCATCTGGTCTGACAATAACTTCATTAAAAAGTCGACAGTCACTCGACTTGACCCTGCACTGACCATCAGCCAGTCAAGAGCATGGAACCTCAACACGAACTTTTAATGGGTACATATGTGTGTGTGTGTGTTTGAGTGTGTGTGTGTGTGGTTGGGCAGCTGGGCAGCAGTAAAAATCAAGAGCTACGTCAAACAGAGCCCCTAAGTGCAGTGTGTTTGCCTAATTGGCATCTGCAAAAGGTTCCTAAACTGCAATTTACGGAGAGGCAGAAAGTTAGTTTATTTTGTGTTTTTATTTTTTTTTCTTTTTTTGCAGTGTAACCTCAAGACTGTGGGGCAACCCTCTGTCGATGGGTAGTCAAATGTGCGGCGTATATTTCTAAAGCCAACCTTCAGCATTTATTGACATCTTATGGGCGTGTCTGTTGGAGAATTTACTACAAATTAGCAGCCCGGCAGCAGCTGCCACTTGCCACTTGCCACTGGCTACTAGCCACTTGCCACTCGAGTCTTACTTTTGCTAGGTTGCTTGCCAGCTCTTT